TAGGTAAACTTTGCCTCTAGAAATCCTTTGGATTTACTTGATAACTAAAAGAAGATGCCCTTAGTTGCTTATTCCTCTCCTATAAGTCCTTTAATACTTCTTCCAAAACCTCTTTCTTTTGTAATGAAAATGAACTGTCTACTTTCATCTTGAGACCTTCTTAATTTTCACCTCGTACTTAGGTGACTTACCTTGCCCTTTCTTTTTTTGATTTACCATGAGTACTTGTGAGGATTTCCCTTTCCTCAAATCTCTCTTAGCTTGGTGAATCATTGCTAAAAACTTTGGCAAGGATTTCTCCATATTACTCTTGTTAAAATTAACAATGAAGTTGGAGAAACTTGGCATAAGTGATGACAAGACTTGATCAATGGCTAACTTGTTATCTTTAACAAAACTAGTGGGAATTAAACACTGGCACATGTCGACATGTATTTCTATAGGACCGGTTCATCCAGCCAGTGGGAGAGCACACTAGTGTTTCTGTTATCCAGCTAGTTGGGAGAGTACACTGGCCATGACTAATTAAGGAGACCACTACTGAATTTTATATTAATGGTTTATCACTAAGATATTTTTTTGGTTTATGTTTAAATTGTTTATCCAGCATGCTTTGACTTTAAATAAGGGCTATCCATATTTTTACTTACTTACTGAGTTATCTCACATAGTTTTTCCTAGTCCACCATTTCAGGTAGTGTGACTCGAGAAGTGCAAAACCAAGGGGAGTGACGAACTAGAAGGCTAGCCATTGTATTTGGACGAAGATTTTAAGTTGTAGATTGTTCTTTGTAAGCTATATTTTATTTTGAAATATTGATCTAAGTTTATGTGGACTGTTAGTTATGAATTTAGCAAGTTTCAAGCCTTGTACATTTGTGGGATGTTCTCACGAGTGTACGGCGTCTGTTTTACTCTCGGTTTTGGGGCGTGACAACATTAGATCTTGCTTAAAAATCCTTAACTTCAAAATTTATCGATCATGTATCTTGAAATTGATTTCCTCGTAATCGTGACACTTGAATTTAATGACTTTAGTAGAAAGACATAGTGAATTCTTCTGGAGTGAAACCATATATTTCTCAAACTTATAGTAGTGTGGCATGATAGTAAAAGATCCCCCCAAGGTGCTTGAGAGAGCAACCTGTGTGAGAAAAGTAGATTTCGAGCACATGTACTTGTCTGACAAAAGGCAAGATTGATGGGCCTTGTTATTACTATTTCCACCATTCTTCTACTGAACCATTGGTTGATTCTATTGATATTTTTGACCTCAAAACTTACTCTTCTACTGATTATTTGGAAACTTGATTTTTTGGAGTTTGTGTAGTATGTTCACCTAATGTGGGTTTACTTTTGATTTTGCAATGTGCTATGTGTTGTTTCTTTGACCATCAATATTATGGTCTTAAATTCAAGCTAGAGACACCATTTCAAGTTGGTCTTAGTTTTCTTGATGTCTTATGATGAGAACCCTAAAGAGAACAATGAGACCCACAGCACGACAAGGGATTCGAAACTCCAGGAAAGCTATATCAAGTTTATAATAGGATTATAATAGGATCTTGACCCATTGTTCATGTCACAATAAAAACCAAAGGTAAAACCTTGACCTATTGTTTATGTCACAACAAGAACCAAAGGTGAAACCTTGACCCGTTGTTTATGACACAACAAGAACCAGAGGTATAAAGTTGGTTGACGCCACACCCTCAAACGGTTAAGAACGAGAATGATAAGTCAGGTTAGAATGCCACAAAAATAATCTTGATAAGTTCTGTAAAGTTCTAAAACGAACCAAAGAGAAAAGTCTCTCAAAATACTCAGATTCAATAATAGTCACAATTAGGGTTACAAACCCTTTAAATAGGGACAACCAATCCTATTTAAAACAGGAAATTAACACCCTAAGTCCTAAACCTAATAACCACGAATTGAGCTTCAAATAAATGAATGTTCAGCCCAAAAATAATACAAAAAATGTGAAAATCACTCAAAATAACCTAAAATAACATGAAATATCAGTTTACTACAATTTGCAGTAGAATTATACAATTGTGACGCAAACTGTGTAATTCAACATGGATGACCTTAATTAAGCTTCTCTTGGACCTAAATGATGTTTACCATGCCATGATAATCATCCAAGCTTTGATTTACTTGTTGCATGTTGTTTTCGACCAAGATCTACTTAATAAGGCCATTTAAAGCTTCACACATTTTCTTAGCTTTAGCCTTCGTGATTGGACCTCCTTGAATGCGTAATGGATCCTCTGACATGGTACATGTGCTATCATCTTGATTCCCATCATTCCTTTTTCCTTAAAAGGATTTGTCCTCAAATTGTCACTTACATCAAAAGGAGAAAAATCAAAAACATTAAAAGTATCACTAACATTATACTCACTAGGAAGCTCTAACTCGTATGCGTTATCATTAATCCTCACAATCAGATGAAATAGTCCATCACCTCTTGGTTGCAGCTTAGAATGCCTTTGTGAAAGGAATCGCTCCTTACGTTGCACCCAAACCCAATCTCCAGGTTCAAACACAACTTTCTTTTGCCCTTTGTTGGCTTGATTTGCATATTGCTCAGTTTGTCGCTCTATGTTTTGTCGCACCCTCTCATGTAGTTGGTTAACCACTTCAACTTTCTTTTTCCCATCCAAACTAGCTCGTTCATCAATAGGTAATGGCAATAAATCCAAAGGAGTGAGTGGATTAAAACCATACACAATTTCAAATGGCGAACAATTAGTTGTTGAATGGATGCTTCGATTATAAGCAAATTCAACGTGTGGCAAACAATCTTCCCAATTCTTCAAGTTCTTTTGAATAATAGAATGCAATAAGGCTGACAACGTCCTATTAACCACTTCTTTTTGTCCATTAGTTTGTGGATGACAAGTAGTCGAAAAGAATAGCTTAGTTCCCAACTTTCCGCACAAGGTCTTCCAAAAGTAACTCAAGAACTTAACATCATAATCAAAACCAACAGTCCTTGGAATGCCATGTAAACGAACAACCTCCTTGAAGAATAGATCAACAATACTGGTTGCATCATCAGTTTTATCACATGGAATGAAGTGTGCCATCTTTGAGAATCTGCCAACAACAACAAAAATAGAATCACGACCTTTTTTCAACCTGGGTAAGCTTAGAACAAAATCCATAGATATATCAACCCAAGGTTCAGTAGATATGGGTAAGGAAGTATACAAATCATGTGATAAAACTCTAGATTTTACTGGTTTACACGTTACACATCTTTCACATCTCCTTTTAACATCACATTTCATATGTGGCCAAAAGAAGTGATCGTTCAGAATATCTAAAGTTTTCCTAACTCTAAAATGTCCCATTAGGCCACCCGCATGTGATTCCCTTATTAACAATTCTCTTAATAAACAGTTAGGCACACATAATCAATTTTCTTTAACTAAGAACCCATCATGCCTATAAAACTTATCAAAAGCTGCCTTCTCACATGCATTAAACATGTTAGCAAAATCTGGATCATTAGCATATAATTCTTTAATGTGCTCAAATCCTAATAACTTTGCACTTAGAATAGAGATAAGTGTGTACCTGTGAAATAATGCATCGGCCACAATGTTTTTTGTTCCTTGCTTGTACTTGATCGCATAGGGAAATGTCTCAAGGAATTCCACCCACTTAGCATGTCATCTATTCAACTTACGTTGTCCCAATGCATACATCTCTTTGTCATAAGTAGGATAGTTAAGTGCTGCACCAATCAATTTTTCATTGAAAAATGCAATCGATCGTCACTCTTGCAACAAAATAGCGCCAATGCCAATACCTGATGCATCACATTTAATTTCAAAAGTTTTAGTAAAATCAAATAAAACAAGTAACGGTGTAGAAATTAAATTCTCCTTAATCAAATTGAAAGCATTATATTGTTCACTTTCCCACTTAAATCTGACACTTTTTTTCACAATTTTCAACGGAGCTGCAATTGTTCTAAAGCCCTTGATGAATCTCTAGTCGAAACTTGCCAAACCATGAAAATTCTACACCTCAGAAATATTCTTAGGTGTTGGCCATTCTTTAATAGCCTAAACCTTTTCTTCGTTTATTACAATTCCATCAATTGAAACAGCATACCTTAAAACGACAATTTGATTTGTGCAAAAGGAACACTTTTTAAGGTTAGCAAACAACTTTTCTTTTCTCAAACCCCCAAGTTCTATTTGCAAATGCTCAATATAATCAATTAAACTCTTACTATTTATTAAAATGTCATCAAAATAAACAACCACCAATTTACCAATGAAAGCACGTAAAACATGATTCATTAATCGCATGGATGTACTAGGGACATTAGTTAATCCAAATGGCATAACCAACCACTCATATAAATTATGTTTTGTTTTAAAAGTTGTTTTCCATTCATCTCCTTCCTTCATCCTAATCTAATGATACCACTCTTTAAATCAATTTTAATGAATATGCAAGAACCATGTAGTTCATCTAACATGTCATCTAGTATAGGAATAGGGTGATGATACTTTACAGTGATTTTGTTGACTGTGCAACAATCAACACACATACGCCAAGTCCCATCCTTTGTAGGCATAAGTAGCATTGGAACTACACATGGACTCATACTTTCTCTCACTTGTCCCTTCTTCATGAGTTCTTCAACCTGCTTTTGAAGTTCCTTCATCTCATTGGGTTGCTTCGATATGCTAGTCGGTTTGGAATTGTTACACCTAAAATGAGATCAATCGAATGCTCGATTCCTCTTATTGGTGGTAAACCATTATGAATGTCCTTTGGAAACACACCCTTGAAGTCCTACAAAAGAGATTTAACAACACTAGGCAAAGAATCATTAAGTTCGTTAGCATTGAAATAACCATCTTTGTACAAAAGCACAAACATAAACTATTTTGCAAAAAACACAGCCTGGACATCACTTTCTTTTGCGTAAACACTCATTGATTTTCTCTCTTTGTTTTCAACACTCTCAATCTTTTCTCTTTTTGGAATTTTTTTCTATTGTTTTCTCTTCATTTTTCATACCCTTAAGCTCACTCTCTTTTCTCAGCTCACTCTCGTTTTTAACTCTTAGTTGATCCTCATAAACTTGCCTTGGACTCAATGGCACAAGAGTAATTGTCTTCCCCTTGGTGATGAATGAATAGTGATTTTGAAGCCATCATGTGTTACTCTCTTATCATATTGCCATGGTCTCCCCAAAAGCAGATGTCTAGCATGCATAGGAACCACTCGCAAAGTACCTCATCCTTATATCGTCCAATAGAGAATGAAATTAGAACTTGCTTATTTACCTTGATTTCTCCATAGTTGTTTAACCATTGCAACTTATATGGCCTTGGATGCTTCATCATAGTTAAATTAAGCTTTTCAATCAAAATAGTGCTAGCTACATTAGTACAACTACCACCATCAATAATCACACTACATACCTTATTTTTGATATGGAACCTTGTGTGAAATATGTTGTCGTGTTGCACTTCATCATCTTCTTTGGCTTGCACATTCAAAACTCACCTAGTGACGAACAATTCTCCATCAACGACATATTTCGTGCCATCATCAGCATCTTCTAATGGTGGCATAGAGTCATCATCAGATTCACCATCGGTTTCAACTTCTCCACCCTCTCTCAAGATCATCGGGTGCTTATTAGGACATTGCGATGCAACATGCCCTTTTCCCAAGCATCGAAAGCACTTGATATCTCGGTTTCTACCTTGCGTATTGTCAATTTTACTCCTCTCATTGCTGCCAACTTCTTTTAGCTTAGATGCTACCGTTTTAGGCTTAAAAGCTGAATTTTCTTCCTTTTTGCTCCAATTTAGTTTCCAAGAAGATGAGGAACCTGGATTTTGCCCAGTTTTGATGGTGGCTCCTTTACGGTTGAGTTTTTGTTTTACTTTCATCACCATATGCACCATATCTACTAATTCCACATAATGCTGCAACTTTACCACATTAGCTATATCATGATTTAAACCATGCAGAAACTGTGCCATAGTTGCTTCTATGTCATCTTCCACATTTGCTCTAAGCATTGCAATTTCCATCTCCTTGTGATAATCCTCAACGCTTTTGGACCATTGAGTAAGGCACTGCAATCGTTGATAAAGATCACGATCGTAGTGACTAGAAACAAACCATTTTCTCAACACAGCTTTCATCTTTTCCCAAGTGTCAACAGGACGCTCTCGATTTCAACATCGATTAAGCACAAGCTGATCCCACCACACCACAGTGTAACCGATAAGTTCCACCGCTACTAATTTCACCTTTTTCTCCTCAGAATAGTTATGGCAATCAAACACCAACTCCACCTTTCCACTCCAAATACACATCTGGATTATTTTTGCCCTGAAATGGAGGAATCTTCATGTTAATGTTGCCTAAGTCATGATCTTGTCAATCTCCCCACCTTGGCAGATTTTGCTCTTTTTGGTTAAACCTACCTTTTTGCCCCCTCTACCTCTCATAATTCTATCCATGCTGAAATTTGAGTTTTGGGCATCATTTTTGAATGCATCTTCATAATCGTCATCGAAATCATCATTAGCATCATTCCTACACAAATTCAGACTTCCATTTTGTATTTGGTATAACTTGCCTATGGCTGCATCTTGCTTCTCTCTTTTATCTTTAATCTCACTAAACATGATGTCTACCCTCTGAAATTGTTGTTACATTGTTTTTAGCATGAAGGATTCATCCACACGGTGTTTTCTAGTGGTTGATTTATCATCACTACTTGATATGATTGAAACCTACAAGGAATGTTAGAAACAAAAATAAAAGGACCTGACAACACTCCCTTATGTGTTTCACTCCATTCTCTTGCGGAATGGCACTCAACACTCATGTTTTGCACACTGTAGAACTTGGCTTTTCTCTCAAGTGTTTCTCACACCTCTTGCCTTTTTCCCTCACTTAACTTTCCTTTTTTAGTTCGTTAGTGAACTAAACAAGCTCAATTCAAATTATTTGCAGCAATCTAACTCCAACGAATATGTAATGAAAGTTAAATGAAACGGAAAAACACAAAGGAACGAACAAGAAAAGCAATAAAAGAACCAACCCAAACAAATTAAAAAAAAAAAAAAAAAAAGGAAATTTGGTTGAAAAACAACACAAGAAAGATAGATCAGTTCTAACACTTCATAGTAGGAACTAACTTGACTATTGCTTAATGGGATATGATTCTTAACTTAGGAAGGAATAAACAAAATTGCTATCTCCTTGTTTGAATAGAATTCAAAGGGAATTTCCAACTCCTTATTATTGTAAGATTCCTTCTTTAAGAATTCGGTAACAAATTTCTTCTTTATATAAGGAATTTAATCACAGTTTTGTGTTGCCTATTTCTCTCTCTCCTTTCTTTTCTTTTCTTTTTTTTTTTTTTTTGAATCTCTTCCCCTTTTTTTTGGACTTCTCCCTTTTTTAAAAAAAAAAAAAATTTGTGCTTTTTTTTTCTATTTTATTTTAGAACCAACAACACAGATTCAAAAACAATAGACTAGAAAGAGAAGAATGCCACTGAAATATATATATATATATATTTGTTTTGTTTTCGATGTAAAAACTGAAAATTAAAGATACACAAACTTGATTTAGGATCCAATGCTCTAATACTAAGATGATGATAACCCCAAAGAAAACAATGAGACCCACAGTACGATAAAGGATTTCAAAACTCCAGGAAAGGCAAATTAGGTTTATAACAGGAACTTGACCTGCTATTTATGTTGCAACAAAAACCAAAGGTAAAAACCTTGACTCGTTGTTTATGACACAATAAGAACAGAGGTATAAAGTTGGTTGACGCATGCCCTTAAACGGTTAAGGACGAGAATGATAAGTCTGATTACAATGCCACAAGAATAATCTTGATAAGTTTTGTAAAGTTCTGAAACGAACCAAAGAGAAAAGTCTCTCAAAACACTCAGATTCAATAGCTACCACAATTAGGGTTACAAGCCCTTTAAATAGGGAAAACAAATCCTAAATAGAGTAGGAAACTAACACCTTAAGTCCTAAACCTGACAACCAAGAATTGGGTTTCAAATAAATGAATGTTCAACCCAAAAATAATACAAAAAAACGTAAAAATCACTCAAAATAATCTAAAATAACATGAAACATCATTTTGCTACAAATTGCGGCAGAATTGTGCAATTTTGACGCAAACTATGTAATTGTAATATCCCAAATTTTCTGATATTTTAGCATTTAATTAGAGGCTTAATTATGAGGAAATAATATTGTTGAGCTTAATGGCAAAAATTTCTAAACTTGAGGGACTTAAAAGAGAAAGAAATTAGGATAAGGATGGGCTGATTTTTTTTTTCCTTCTTCCTCATCAGCAGCCGCGTGCTGCTCCTCCTCTTCTTCTCCCTGCAGCCGAACAAGACCTAGCCACCGACAACACCTCCTCTTGAAAAACTAGTGAGAAAACTTGATTTTTGCCCTTCTTTCTTGTTCAAGAACAAGATTTAGAGCTTAGAAACCTCCCCCCTGCAGGAAATTTTTGGATCTACCCTGCTCTGTTCCTTCCGTCCGCTGCTCTGCCGTGTGTGGGGGTGAGTTTTTCAGTTTCTGGTAAGGGGAAACAGCCACCAATTTCTCTGTTCTTCCTTGAATTGGCTTGGGTTTGCTCTAATTTCTGTTGGTTTCTCCAATTTTGGTAGATCACCTAAATTTCTCCTTCATTCCCGCCGGTCTTCCCCCAAACTGCAACTCCGGTTTTGCTTGCTAAAATTCTGGTATGTTACAGCTCCATCTAAGTCCAAAATTATCTATTAGTTGCTGAAATTGTCAGTTAATTTGCTGCCCTTGTGCTGTTCAAATTTTGTTGAAATAAGGGGATGAATTCCGGCAGCCTTTGAACATGTTTTAAGTTTAATTTATGTAGAAAATTAGCTTATTTTGGCTGTTGTGATTTTTGGAGAAAACCCCGTGATTTGCTATTGTTTCGCTAAAGTTCGGGTTCTCTCTTTTCTGTTCGTGAATTTGGAAAATTTGGTATATATGTGTTGTGTATAATTAAATCAATAATTGGAATAAAAGCTGGGTTTTTCCATTTTGTCCGTGGGATTGGGAAAATTATGTATAGATGTTTGTGTACATATATATATATACAATCCGGTCAATGAAAATAAATAAATAAATGAAATTGCTTATAGAATTAATTCTTGGATATTTTGGTTAGGTTCTTGATCCTTGGGGCACTTTAGTACGTAGATTGAGTCTTTGGTTTTATGCGATTTGAGGTAAGTAAATTATGGTAACGCCTTTCGATTTTAAAACACATTTTAGCTTGTTTTTGAAGTGGTGGCGAGACTAAATCCGTTTTACACAAGTATGATCGATTTGAAATGAAATTATTATTCTTTTTATTGATTTGAGCATGCCTTCTTGGAGTTTACTTAACTGCCCTAATGATTTCGAAATTATTTGTGAATTATGATTTTCCTGTTAACTTCTGCCTGTTTTGTCTCCGATATGATTATGTTATTTGTGTGCCCACTAGTGGGAGATTTATAAACGCTAGCACATGTCGACATGTATTTCTGTAGAGCCGGTTCCTCCTACTAGTGGGAGTTGTTAAACACTGGTATTTCTGAAATCCTGCTAGTGGGATTATACACTAGTAAATCGTGTGTCTGCTAGTGGGAGGCTTATAACACTGGCCATAACCTATAGAGGAGACGTCTATTTCGTTTTCGTACTCGTACCTGCTTTTCGTGATTATACTTGTTGGCATGCTATAAGTTTAATTAAGGGCTATCCATATTTACTTACTAAGTTATCTCATAGTTTTTCCTTGTCCAGCATTTCAGGAAGCGAAGTCAAGAATGGGAAAAAACGAGGGGAGTGACGAGTTAGAAGGCTAGCCATCGTGTAAATTGAATATAGATTTTAGATATAAATCATGATCTTGTAAATTATATTTTATTTGGAGATTTTATAATATCAAAGCAAATTTTTAAAATTTTATCTTCAAATTTCGTGGTATCAGATTGCGATATGATAAGTTTTGAGTTTTGTGCATTTGTGGGATCCTCTCACAAGTGTATGGCGTCTATCATTCCTCGAATTTGGGTTTTGGGGCGTGATAGTAATTTAGCATGAATGACCTGAATGATGTTTACCATGCCATGATAATCATTCAAGCTTTGATTTACTTGTTGCATGTTGTTTTCAACCCAAATATGCTCAATAAGGCCATTTAAAGCTTCTCGCATCTTTTTAGCTCTAGCTCTTGTGATCGGACCTTCTTAAATGTGTAATGAATCCTTTGACATAGTACATGTGCTATCATCTTGATTCTCATCATCTTACCTTAGAGCTTGGAATAAATGTAGGTTATTGAATTCTAATTTTAGTCATAGAGGTAGTTATTTTGGAACTCAAATTTGATGTGGGAAGAGCCTAGATCTTTTGTGGTTCCTTTGATTTGATTTTTTTTTTTTTTTTTATATCTTCTTGAACTCCTGAATTTAGTTATATCTTCAAACATTTCTTTGCTAACCAAAAATTTGATTTTTTTTTATCTTCCTAGACTCCTGAATTTAGTTATATCCTCAAACATTTCTTTTCTAACCAAAAATTTTATTATGGCAATGGGGAAATTTTTCCACATGGCTTTTCTAAAGTGTTTTCCTCGATTTTCATTAGTACTCTCAAGAATATTAACCTATCATTTCATGAACCTAGCCATTGTGTTGGAGGCCATGATTTAGATCTCAATTTGGCTAGTGTCAAAATTCTTTCCATGCCATTCCCTGCCAGCTCATTTTTGTTTTGGGCTTATAGCACAATTCAGCTATTGTTTTTTTGTAGCCATGGCAGGATTTACTTCTACTCCTTATGTTCTTCATAACACCCTAGCCTCTAGATGCTTGCTTTGCAAATTAGTTTCACGATTATTTCGCTAAGTCCTAACTTGTGTTCCACTTAAAGTTAAATGTTAGTGCAATATTAGAATGTGCAATGGAAGCGTAGTGTGAGAGTAATGCCATGTTCTGTTCATAAAAAGCTAGTGGGGTAGCTTATAAATCATAGGTTGCCAAAGAACGTAATGGGTGCTCAAGTTTTTATGTATATATGCTTGGAATTATATTCTAATCCTATTTAAGTGATTGATTCTGCATTTTAACAACCCTATGATGGTTTGTCATATGATAGGCAGTTGTTGTCTTAGATTGTGAGAAATCATTCACTATTCTAGATGATCCTAAACTTGAGTTTTGAGGACAAAACTCCTTTTTAGGAGGGGTGGATGTAATATCCCAAATTTTTTTTGAAATTTTAGAATTTAGTTTAGGGACTTATATGGTAGAAATTATTATTGTTGAACCTAATGGCTAAAATTCACAAACCTAAGGGGGTTAAAAGAGAAAATCTTGTGATAAAAGGGGTTGAGGCTGAATTTTTTTTCCATTTTTCTCCTTGCCTATTGCGTGAATCTTTTATAGCTCTTACCCAAAATTTTCCTCCAGAAGCCCTAGCTTGTGCCCAATCCATTCTCACTAGAAATTATGTGAGATTTAGTTCTTTTTCTTCCTCCCAAGTTTGATTTAGAGATTTATGAGTTTATGGTTCTCAAAATCAAGATCAAAACCCATATCTTGCTACTAATATTCCCCAATTTTTCTGGTTCATGTTGGGTTCTTGTGTAGTGCAAGGGAGGCTGCCACCTTCCAGCACTTTACGGTAAGAAATCAACCTTACTGCTCATCTTTTCATCCTTAATTTGAATTGGGTTAACTCTAATCTTTTAGGGTTTTCAATTTTGAGTTTTTTTTTTTTTTTTTTTTTGTAGTTTTCCTCCTTGGTTTTGCCCTAGTGCCACTAGATTTGATTCCTTTTGCTAGAAATTTTGACAACATGACTTTGCAGTAGTGTTTTGCCAATAAGTCTTTTTATAGTTATCAGATTAAGTCCATTTTGATTTTATAGAAAGATAAGAGATAATCCTATAACTTTTCTATTGGATGTTTACCCTATTAAGCTATTTTTATAGTGAAAACTCTGCTGCAAGTTCGATTCTTATTGATGGACTTAACTGATAGCTCAACCTTATGTTAGTATTTTGGCCATAACTTTCTTTGTAGATGTCGAATTAAGGTAATTCTTGGACCTGTAGAACGTTAAGACATAAGGTTACAATTTATCTGTTGACCACTCAACCCAGATTGGTCAATTTCTAGGTGTAAAATTCTATTAGAACTTCTGGTTCAAAATTTGACCAAAACTGCCCTAAAAAAGTACCTAGAAATTTACTTTGTTTTCTACTTTATTCCCATATTACCTGCTGCCATATTGCACCATGGTTTTAGTAGACTTTAGCTGCTATTTTCCCTGCTCTAAAACCCCTTGTTATTGCCTTGTTTTGGCTACCCTTTTGCTGCTGTATTTTCACTTGAATGTTACTTAGTTTTGGCTTGTAATTTACCCTATTTTACTACTGTCTTTTTGCCCAAAAATCCTTGCTGTTTAGGGCTTTTTCCAAGCATTTTAGAATTTTTCTAAATAGCAAAAATCCCCACCATACTACCTAGCTTTTTGTTGCTATTTGTGGTAGTTTTGAACTTGGTTTTCTCACAATTTTTCACTTTGTTTTATTTAGCAAATTTGCTTAGTAAACCTGCCATATGTAGGGTATTTTATTGCTATTTTAGGCATGTTTTAAGAATGATTATGCATAGGAATATATATATATATATATATGCATATATTAATAGGGTTTTAATGGGTAGAAGTAATCAGGAAGGATAAGAGAAAATTGTTTCTTTGGTTAGGAACTTGATTTTGGAATTTGAAACCAAATTAGTTAAATGGATTATGTTGCAATTTTGTTTATTCATTGATGTGGTATGAGTTCTAAATCACCTCAAGTGCCTTGAGTTCTTGAATTTTTTGTTTGTTATATACCTACAATGTGAGATAAGTAAAACTATAGTAAATACCCTTGGATTTTAAGGTAAAAGTTTTAAAGCATAACTTTGAACTGTTTTTGAAGTGGTGGTGAGACTAAACCCGTTTTACACAAAAACGAGCGTGATTGGTTTAAAATAAAATTGTTATCATTTATTGATTTAAGCATGCCTACTTGGAGTTACTAAACTGTTCTAATAACTTGAAATTGCATATTTGTAAATGATGGATTTTCATATAACTCCTACCTAGTTTAGTCCCCAATATGGTCATGTTTTATTGTGCCCACTAGTGGGAGGTTTATAAACACTAACACATATCGACATCTATTCCTAGAAACTAGTGTGTCGTATTATTCCTACCAATAGGATAGTACACTAATTATTACTGTGCCCGCCAGTGGGAGGTTTCAAAATGCTAGCCATGACTTATAGAGGAGACGTTTATTTCATTCTCATGCTTGTACCCGTTTTTCTTGATACTTGATTACACTTGTTGGCATGCTATAACTTTAAATAAGGGCTATTTATATTTTTACTTATTAAGTTATCTTACATAGTTTTTCCTCATCCATCATTTCAGGTCATGAGACTTGAGACATGGGAAACCAAAGGGAGTGACAAGGTAGAAGGCTAGCCATTTGTATTTTGGATATAGATTTTGAGATATAAATCATTCTTTTGTAAGCTAGATTTTATTTGGAGATATTGATCTTAGTTTATGTAGATTGTTAATTATGAATTTAGCAAGTTTTAAGCCTTGTCCATTTGTGGGATCCTCTCACAAGTGTACGATGTCTATTTCACTCCTGGTTTTGCGGCATGACACTTCATAGCCAAACAAGCCCTTTCATGCCTTTCTACAGGGCTCAATAACACACAACCCCCAATATTAAAATTATCTACAAAGTGTATAAGTCGGCTTCTACTCTTCCATTTGGGCTTAAAAGTGACTACCTTGAATAACAGAGCTATAAAGCCATCAAAGCATGCCTCCTAAGAGTTATCCTTTTTAAAAATATTGGCAAGAATCGCCATCTTGACCCCCAACTATAACTCTACGCCCCTCTTAACATTCATCTATATCTACAAATTTTCCACTTTCGTTGTGGCGTATGGGACAAGCCTCTTCCTCCTTTCCTACACTCAACATTTCCTCTGAGGTCATTTCTTCCATCACATAACTCTCACTACAAGATGTTAAAGATGGAAAGTAAAGTGGATCCTTGGCTAATTCTATCTCACTTTTTGTCCATTCTCTAATCCTAATAGGACTAAGTCCTAAATCTAAAAGTGTAAAAGGTAACCCAAACTCTTCACTTAATGCAAAAGTAAAACTAATAGATTGTTACCTGATTTTTGAAGGTCAAGATTGAAGTCCAATGCCTTTTGGTGAATCTAAGAAGCACTAAGTGAATTTATTTTTGATTAAAATTTGGTAATACTTTGGTAGTAAAAGTATCAAAATGCCCTAGTAAAATGTGAATCTCCTATGTATAGCTTGTGAAGGGTACCATCCAATGGTTGCTACCATTTCAATCGATGGTTACAATCACAACCTTTCGTTTATAGCACCTAGATTAACCATAGCCATTATTACAATGCATAACCCAAAAACGGTTATTGATACTCAACTTCTAATGCCAAAGGTTAAATTCAAAAACTATCATAAAATAACAATAAAAAGTAATCATAATGATGGTGAATATAGAAATAACACAAATCTTTTATCTCAACCATGAGCCAAAAGTATTTTCATCTCAGCCATGACCAACATTAGTAGCCACATGTCAAATATTTTCATTTCAACCACAAGCCAAAACAAGTGACCACATGTCACATGTTTTCATCTCAACCACAAGCCAAAATTAATGACCGCATGTCACATGATTAACTACTGATTACAAACAGGGCTCATGGAAAGTTGCATTAAATGATTCATACATCCAAGATGTTTGCTCTATTAACCACGTCATGCTTCGATTATTGCTCTTCAAGGACCACATGGACCCCACTACTAGGCCTATAAATACCCCTTGAGGACCTTTTTCAAAGGTACTAGACTGAGGCCTAAAGATCTTAATTTAATTAATCCCAATTTAAGGATAAACTATTACTGATATAAGTATTGAAGTGTCTACTCCGAGATCCAACATCAAGGCTTTGTAGTTCATTCGTGTAGTTGATTTTGAATTAGGAAGGCTGATCTATTCCATGCAATCACAAATTTAAAGTGCAAAACAAGTTTCACAAGATTCTAGGAGACATCATGAGATGCATAATATGCTAGAATTACTATAACAAATGTACTAGTCGCTCTAAGTACTATAATGATAAAAAAGTGTTAAACCTACAAGGAATGTGATTAACTAAATACAAAAAATAATTGATTTAGATTTAAATTTATTTGAACAATTGAAAATGAAGAAAATTTAATTAAAAATAACTGAAAAGAAAATAATAATTAAAATAAAGATAATTAAGATATAAGGTACCAAAACAGTCAATTTCACCATAATCGATCAATATAAATTATAAATTAATATGCCTCCAAGACTAATTTGTTTAGTGTTATTGCATGTGAAGGTAGATTCCCCTAAATTAATTTACTTTCTCAAGTTAAGTTAATTCTTCACTTGTTTATTAAATTAATTATATCTCTATATAATTTAAGACAAACTAGTGAGCATTAGGTGAATGGAAACCTCTAACTTCTTCCTCCATTACCACATATGATACTAATTATTTCTTGATCTCATAGTTTAACACATGGTTTATATTATTATTAATCTAATTTGCACAATACTTTCTTAAGTTCATGCATAAATCGCATAATTATTAAAAGGTAATCAAGCTTCTAAGGCAAGTTCAACAATAAAAATTCATTATGAGAATAATTTTAATTGAAAGTATAAAAATCTAAAAATCTATATTAAATTAATTATGTTATATTGTAACCCTAATAAACTAAATTAGTTTATAATAAAAATAATGAAACTTAAAATCATAGTAATAAATATAAGAATATCAAAGAAAAATAAAATCATCTAAGAAAAAACAAAATTCAATTTAAAAAGATTAAAATTTTTAATTTTTAATTTCTTATTGTCAATGAATTCCTTATTGTATCCTCTATCTTCATCTCCTAGAATGGCCAAAAAAGGGCTGCCATTAGCCTTCTTCAATAGCTCTTTTCAATTCTGATGTTGGATGAGTATTTATAAGGGGGGGAGGGGGCATAGCCTTGCTGAAAATCACATAAAGCGTCAACACCGTGAACAATGTGCCGACACCTTTGGTAAAGTAATGAATCGAAAGTCCGTGTCGGTGGCTTTAAGTAATTTTGGTTAATTGCAAAACAACAAAACTGGTCCATAACTTCTAGTTTTTGTACAATTTAATCCTCAATTTTCAAATCTCTGCAGTTTGATCCTAAAATTTTGATTTCTTCTATTAAGTTCTTTCCTATACAAAGAATAAAAATTATGTAAATTATGTAAATTATGTAAATTAAGGAAAATCTTATAAAACTCATTTAATTATTATCAACAATATCAAGACAGAAATTCCTTTTTAATATGTATATAAATTTCAATTTATCAAAGCACCATAATCAACTAACTAATCATTAGGCGTGAGCGCATATAAAAGAAGCAACAAAATTGATGCTTAGAGGAGCTAAATGAATTATAATTCGCAGACAATTCATGGAAAAGTTGACTGAGTCTAATTGTTTAATGGGCAAGCAATTGAGTTTTTTTTTTTTGGTATTTAGCAAGCAATTGAGTTTGATTGATCATATATTTTTTTTATAAGAAATAGAGATTTATTAAAGCAGTAAAATTTGATATTACATATGAGTCTCTCTCTATATAAAGGCAATTATGGACAACAATATCATAAGCATAGCCTACCACATTAGATATAGATATAGATAATTAATAAGTGAAGAAAGCCATCAATAACTAAGGATTACCGAGCATGTTAAGAAGGCAGTGGTTGCAATGATGGTTGGACGATGAGAAATAGTAAAGAAGCTGAAGAAACTTGAATCCCTTCTTGAGGTGGCCGAGCATGCTGTGGACGAAGGGGGCACTACCCCCATCGAGGTAGTTGTTCCATCTTGGTAGAATTTTCAATGGGTGATTGTTGTTAGCCCAAGTAGATGCTCTTCCCTAAAGTTGGCATAACAATTTGGCATAACAATTGGGAATGTATGCTTGTAATGACTTTCCTACATGAAAATCATTGGCCTCAACCCCTCACACCAGCAAGGCGCCACTCTATATTTAAACAATTCATTATGGGCATATGAGGCTTTGATTGAAATCATGATCAAGGGGTTTTTCTTTTCTTTTTTTTTATTGAAAGCAAAGAAATTAATCAAAGCAAAAGGATAGAAAAAAATGGGAACAGATCAAGGCAAAAACAACGTAAACAAATTAAAAAGGTAGATTAGGGATGGATAAATTGGAAAGAAAGAGAGAAACTAGGAGGAGAAATTCCGAAGGAAGAAACTCACAACCTCAAAACCCTAACCCTCAGAGAACGAACATGTAGGAATTTTTTTTTTTTTTGACCAATTATATTAGTTTGGCCAATTGTTATTACGACATGTGTTATAAATGGCCCTTATATATGAACAATTAAACTTTTTTTTTCTTATATGTAGTTCTTATTGAGTATTTTTATTTAATAAAAAAATTTAATTATCATTTATATAATATGTTAAATTTTTATCCAAAATTTATATTTAAAGAGTCAAAACTGTAACTATTTAACTTGAATGGAGGTAGCAATTAAGTTGACAGCAACGACTAAATTGAACTAAAGTCCTTGAAATAAAATTGAAAAGTAGCAATTTGCTTCAATTAGCTTTAACTCAAACATATGCTTCTAGATGAATTTGAAGTGGCGCCAGACTGGAAGATTTGGTCAACCATGGGATAAGATGCTATGAGGGTCTCCTTGGCGACAATGGATCAGTGTTTTTAAAATTAAACCAGAGGCCAAACTATTTTGACTTCTGGTTCTCAATTTGGGTGGTGTAATTAGTTTAATCAGTAAAAATGGTCAATTTGATATAATATTCTTATGTATATCTAAAATCACATCCAGCAAGGTGGCTTTGGTGATTGAGGCACGTATCGTGACTTTTGAGACTGTTAGTTCGAATTCATAAAATCATATCTTTACATTTATTAGGATGTAATATAGAATAAATATATTTTAAATCACAATAAATTAAAGAAATTATTGCATATCAATTGGTATAAATTTTGCTCTATAATTAAAGCGTTGAGAGTTCAACTCTCCTGGATATCAAAGTTTATCCCCAAGAATTAGACCATTTGGTCAAATGATTTATTGGTTAATTCTATTTCAAACGGTTTTGATGGTTTTGAACGGTTAACCAACGAAACAGTTTTGAATATTTACCTGAACCATTTAAGCTACCAGGTGTCGGCTCCAACCATCTGCTCCAGTCCAGTTTTCTAGACAATGCAATGGATACTCCGATTGACCCCAAATAAAATGGCACTAACCATGAGTCAAAGGCATTCCTCACGTGCAGAGGGCAATATAAATATACAGTCTAACATGTTCCCCTAGGCCTCCTATTTACAGAAAAAAAGATTATGTGCAGCAATAGACAGATACAGAACATAGGGGAAAATTAAAGTCAAGATATTACTCCGCTGACAAGAATTACAAGCCAATTCACTGAAGTTCAATCAGTGTCAATGCTTCATTGGAGCACGAGAAGAAAAACGAGTCATCTAATAAACTTTTAGGCCCAGAAAACAAATGAGTATTCTTCCATTTTTACCTTTATAATGTTTTCCCTAAAGTGAAGGAACGCTGAGAGACCCAGCGTTAAGCACTCTTGGCAAAATCTGTAACAGAAACATCATGTGAGGGTTAGAAAACTAACACGGAAACCCCAGAGGAAAAATTTGCCAGTTAAACCATAAAATACAGAACCTCTCCCAATCTAGCACTGATTTTCAAGGGCACAAAATCATCAGCCCGTGTTGGGCCTATGTTTACAATGGCCGTTGCAGCTCCAGACTCATAAGCAGCTCTGAAATTGAAAACCCATTAATTGATGAATAGGTCCATCTAAAACACAATTTGGTGACAACCCTACTTGTTTAAAACTTGAACAGATCAAAGATCAAAGCAGGGAAATGATCCAGCATCAGAATCCTTACAATGAACATATTTGAATGATTTGCCTTACTTGGATACCATGAATCAACAATTTCTTTATATAAAACCACAATCATGCTTGCATCAATAGCATAGGGAACCAATTATTATAGATGCAATAGATCTTCCAACAAATTAATGACTGGTATACACAATTAATTTATAACTATAAGCTTGTTCTTTGAATGTGAAAGAGATGCAGTGAAAAAGATTACCTGACAAGGCGGTATGCAGACATAGTCATCACAGATGATCCGAGTACAAGGAAAGAATCACATTCTTTTGCAGCTTCAAGTGCCTTATCAGCTCTTTCCTTGGGCACATTATCACCAAAGAAGACTACCTTAAAATAATTAAACATAACAAGAACATCAAGAAAATCCTCACTTCTTATCATTTCATTTAAAATATTGACTATTCACATTTGCAAAATATAAAAAGTATAATGGCAAAGTCAAGATTGATATTTATAATTAAAGAATGATTGCTTCCAACCTGTTGAAACAAATCATATGGGAATACGGAGAAATCATTATCATTTTGACAAAAAGTAACTTTACATAAATCACCAAATTTATCTCGTGATATTTTCAAACAAATAGAAGCAAACCAGTTAGCTCCCTTCAGTAAGATACCTGCATCAATAAGATGATCTAATGTACTGAAAAGTGGGTAAAGATAAAATCCCACAAAGTTTTACCATTTCACCAAGAAAAAAAACAGTACGTTTTTACCAGAGGCAATCCGCTTTCAGTGCAGCAAGCAGGCCATAATTGTGCAGACAAAATTGGCTTAATCCCCTGTTAAGCCTTTTAACTTACAGATTTTAAGGTTAGTAGCCCCCCACTTATAAACTTAAGGGTATTAGCCCCTCAACATTACAATTTGGGGAAATTTCCCCTTATTTTTGAGAAATTTGAAGTGCACACCGTTAATTATGTGTTATCTCCATCTTAGTCAACAACACATCAGCATATCTATCCTACACATCATGCCACCGTGGCAATTAGCAGAAAATTCTCCCTCAATGTAATAGAGGCCCCACTCTATCATACTTTAAAACAAAGAGAAAAAAGTCAAAACAAAAATCAAAGTCGTGCTATGGTGGCATGCCACATAGAATAGAAATGCTGATATGTCGCTGACTAAGATGGAGATAACTTATAACTAACAGTGTGCACTTCAAATCCATTAAATAAAGGGGATCTCCCCAACTCATATTATTGAGGGGCTAAATCCCTAGAGTTTCCGATGGTGGCCAATAACCTCAAAATCTATAAGTTAGAGGACTAAATAGAGGGTTAAGCTGACTAAATTTTCAAGCATAGTTTCTGTTAAATATTAAAAACTATAAAAAATCTTTCAGCAATGAGAGACTTCTTATTTCTTAACTCTTTGATTAGAGGCCTAACCAAAACTATGATGATTCATTCTATCAATTACCAAATAATAAATTGCTTCTCCAAGCAAACTAACTTGTTAGCCAAAAAAGAAGAATAAAAATTATCTCTCTTTTTTTTTTTTTTTTTTATGGTGAAAAGAATAAAAATTATCTTCTACCTTACAATTGCTTCTTGATAAAATTATTTCAAAACTATATCACTGCTCCAACTTGAACTACTTAACACTTGTGTTCTGGAATCTAGCACCAAAGATCACACATTAAATAAACCAAAGGTTTACATGCTAAGATTCCACGGTATGTTAACTTCTAAACAAATTTCAAACAATCCTCTTAGTTATTCAAGAACAAATGCTGAGTATGTATTATGTATCTCTGCTCAATCACCATAAGCAACTAAGATGAAAAAATCCTCAAATTTTTAAGACTTTAAGGATTGACTTCATTAGAAAAGCATAACATCTTACATCAGGTTTAAGCATTCCATTGCAATTCTGGCATGTGGGGATGTGGAAATCCTCCTCCCAAAATTTTTCATCAATCTCAATGTCCCCATCAGGCCTTTGCTTCATGCCAAAGCTCTTATCTGATCCAACGTTAACATGGTCCAAGCTTTCAATTGCAGCTGCCCACTGCCATAAAAATAAATAAACAAATAAAACCATAGTTTTCTTTAGTTGTCAGTAAAAATCATCTAAACAGGCATTTTTTAGGGTTAAGTACTCTTTCATCATTTTTTTATTTTTATTTTTTTCATTTAATCTAGTAAGTATGACACTGCCACATGATACCAACTTTAAAATTGTGCAATTATTATTACCTTTTTTCCTTTGGGGGTTCTCAATGAAAAAAGGTTCAAATATTTCAACTGAAGAGGTTGAGTGGTCACCCAACTCCAAGTTAGCAAAACACCTTTATCCAACTTCTTAACCTGACTCATTTGTGCTTCAGCTAAATTTGGCTACAACTACTTTTATCCTAACAACTTACAAATGTTACCATCAAGACACCGAGGGTCAGAGAATGCAGTTAGGATACTTGTTTTCACTGTGAATTGTAAATTATCAACAATTTATGTTTAGAAGTGCTACAGTAGCAAGTGTTTGATACAAGTTCATACCCACCATGGATACATTAATTTATTCATAAGTTTTTGTATTAGTTCCAAAGACAGAAGAATCATTCTTATAGAGGTTCAACAAATCCAGAAAATGGAGCACCTGAGATTGGTTAGGATAAATTGAAGATTCTGTGCAAAGTCCATTACCAAAACTTAATAACAGCAGAGGATGTCAGTATGTCACATGGGTACTAATGGTAATCTTCAGGAGGATAGCAGATTTTACAAGAACTGACCTTTGGATTAAGAGCCTTTACCTCATCCTGAAATAAATTTCGGCAAAATGAGAAACCACAATCTAAACAAATTACTGAATATACAGTACCATGCAATTCAAGTGGGTTGCTTCCAGCACGATGATGCAACCTAAAATAAGGACAAGTTAGTGCCACCAGCCTCGCTTAAGAAAATAGGGTCAAAGACAAAAACTAGTTACCTATCAACATTCTGTGTAATCATGAACCTTATTCGGCCAGCTTTTTCTAGAGATGCTAAAGCAATGTGCGCAGAACTAGGCTGTGCAGAAGTAAACTGTCTCCATCCAGCATAGCTCCTTGCCCAATACCTCTTACGGGCCCGGCTTGAATGGAGAAACTCCTACAGACCGAGAACCCAGAAAGACAGAAGGTAAAAAGAGAGATTTTGATTACTTTTAAAAGGAAGATTTATAAACAAAAGTTAAATACTTATCACAGAAATGTGATTAACCATACTCAGGTTCCTAGTACATCCAGGGAAACAATTTGTCACCTTTGGAAGATTTAAGGGATGGTTAAAAAAGATTAAATTGTGTGGATCAGACAACTTGCAGCTGAAAATATACAGTTAGTCGTCAACAATCCAAATATACGGTCATCTAAAACTTCTCTTTCCCTGTGTAAAAGGAAATGTAATAGCCTTATGCCATTATCTGATGGCTATGTCAACGCAATCCAAAATTAGCACTATGATGGATTTACCTAACACTTTATTTACAAGAAAAATTGCTTACCACAAAAGAATCATAGAAAGAGAAGATAGGAAAAAAATATTATCTAATTGTGCATTTCAGAAAGACAATGGCTTTCCTAATCTTCAGAAATGATTAACATGAAATATTTCCCAAATTATTGACCCTTGGAAAATGAGGATTTTAAGGAAAATGAATTTCTTCAAAAGTAGTTACTTTCTGCATAATTCCCTTTTCAATCACTCTATTAGATTACAAAATGGAGCATGAGTACATATTTTTAAACCAGATGAAAGAAACTTTACAAGGAAAATTGTCAGGATAACCACGCCAAACTAGAAAGATCAACATCATATTGAGACTTTCCTGAACAAATCTAATCTTCTAACTTTTGCCCTTCTGTATTCTTTCATCCTCAAGAATTCATGAAAACTATGAACATCATTAAAAAAGAATGAAATCAACAGTGACCATAACATATAAAACAACTAACATTGGAGGCAACATATTAGCATTTTCCAGCTTAAGAGCACATTAACTAAATGTTCATGGTTAATTGCTCAATGCTAAAGGAACCAACTTTCATAGCACATGCCTGGAAATCACCTGATGAGTAATTGGCTTGAAACCAGCACTGTAAGCTCCATTTGGGCTGCCAAAAGGAAATGAATATTATTACTTCAACAAAATGAAAGCTTGTAATGTTGCAGTCCAAAATGAATGTTGTTGCTACAATGAAAGGAAAGTTTGTGACTGACAATCTAGGATTAAGCATCTACAATTTCAAGGTACTAATGTCATGAGGATGTATTATGAAAATGAGTGACAAAAGAGTAAAAAATTCAAAAAAGGGAATGAAAAGGAAGTCAAAAAATGATACAATAGCCAAACAAATAAGGCAGTTGAAATTGAAATGAGAATTTTACTGGCTAGCTAGCAGCTACTCCCACATTCTCATGGTACAAGGATGGATTCTACGACTAGTGAATCAGAGAAAAAAAAAAAAAAACTCCACTCAGTCTCAAAATTATGGTCCCATTTGGACCTTCGCTATCATATGAGCTTGCTGGTATTTTCAGGGCAATGAAAAGGTCTTTGTGATCTTATTAGCTAATTTGAAACAACAGAAGAAGAGATCAAACCTTCTATAATCAGGAATTCCACATTCAGTGCTCATCCCCGCTCCAGTTAACACAACAAGCTTTGAACTACATAACCCCAAACAACCAAGAGAAGATCATTAGGTCATGGAAAGAATGAGTTCACTTTAATCCAGCAAGCAACTACAAAACAAAAGTGTGTTTCTAAGAATAACCTCTGACACAAAAACTGATACAACCAGATGACATCTTCATTGCTTGGAGGATCAGCTTCCGGAACCACCTTCTTATCTCTCATAAATTTCATAGGCTTTTCTGCCTGACCACTCACTGGCACCCCTGGGACTGATATCTGGCATGATGTCTGTACAAACTTCATGAAACCCTGAAATGATATTCTTTTTCTTCCTCTACTCAGTGATTGCTGATATTTGGCACTTTGTGGAAAAATATCTATTACAAGATGAATTTGCAAGCAAATACAATCAGACACTTACAATTCCAAATTCGTTGAATAATGAAGGCAACACAATTTGTTTTATTACGACTACAAAAACTTGCCTGAGAGAAGACTTCCAAGAACTTTTCCTGAACTTATAGAAGCCTGCATGTTCAATATTAGCAACTCTGGTTGGTAAAGAGGTTTGAGGTTAGGGGTTAGCAGTTTTGACCAGTTGGACAAATAAGAACATTTTGATTATAAACAACAACAATTATCAGCCCACTATCCGCCATAGGCTGCTTTTGAACAACTAATCCAAACACCCTTGCTTGACTGTACAAAACACTTATTATATAAACAATCAAGTACTAAACAGAGTACAGCAGTCTGAAACGCAATGCAAAAAGAGGAGTTGCTGCAATCTGCCAAGTTTTTAAGGATCAAATTGCATCTAAATCACCCATTCCCAAACCCCAGTTTAGTGAGATGAGCATGTGATTATTGGCCCTTTCACTTAACAAGCTCTCTTTCTCACGGAAATGGAACAGCAGATATGGTTATTAATTAACTCGGAACAAAGCCCTATAAAAGCTAATATGAGCAACAATATTACAATGTCTAATAGAAATGCATTTCTTGATTAAAGTACCAATTATCAATGAAATTACCTGGATTAAGTACATGATTAAAGCGAAATTATCAAATGTTAAGGAAAGAGAATATCCTGCAACTGAGTAAAGCAGAGACGATGGGTGCTTACCGAGGCAATGGGCGTGAATGAGAGCATATTTCGGGAAATCCGGATGATTCGCCTTAGATTCAACTTTCAGGATAGCTGTTTTGTGGTAATGTCTTCGGCCGCCTGAATCTCAGGATGAAATGTTGTGTTCGTTTCTGTCTGTCGAGCCCTTCGTCCACGTTTCTTGTTTCCGCGCATCATGACAAAAATTCAAATGAGCCCTTAAACTTAGCATGTTGTACCTGATCATAAAGGCAAAAAGGACAAATCAGCCCCTGGACTAAAATCGGATAATTCTAAACCCTTCAACTCTTCGAATGGTTGCGAATGGAGATTGAAGCCTTAATTGACTATGATGTCAGCAATTCGGTGAATTCAAATAGAGCGTCCACATTGGTGGGAACTCCAAATGACTGGGCAATGATGCACGAAAATCACTAATTTGCCCTTGAAGATGTAAAATTTTTTGTTAAACTTCAATTTGGTCCCTCAATTATTATACATACCCTAGAGTTTATCCATAAACTAAAAAAATTCTTGATTTAATCGCTAAAAATTGAAATTATGGCTCTCTTTTGGTCTTCCTTTAAATTTTTAATGATATGGCAGCTTAATCGACGGAATTCATTTCTTCTACTTTTACATAAATACGTGGAAACTCCATGTTGGAAAAGATAATGACGTTGCAATCATTTAAAGTAATGGTGTTTGTATTCAATCCAATTTGATTAAGTCAACTCAAATTTATCCAATTCAATTAAAAACTAAATTAAATTGATATAAAATTAAGTTAGTTTAAATTATAAAATTTTGAAATTGATATAATTGATTTGATTTATGATTTTATTCTTAAACCATCCGAACTATCCAATTACAATATAAAATTTGATTACAAAATAACTTAATTAAATAATAAAATATTTTTTTGTAGTATTTAAAATTTTCTTTTTCTTGTTTAACAAGTTAATAACTTCATTCATTTAATTAAAAAATAAAAATTGAATATCTTCATATTCTTTAATTTATTTTTTGTTCTTAATCGTGCACTTTAAATTTCTAATTTGCATGCAATTCTACCTCTCAAAATTGGTCTATGACTCTGCTCTTAGAACTCTAAATTTCTAATTTGTTTAAAAAATGATATTTTGTTCTCCTAACTAACTCTTAAGAAGCATCATTTAAGAAGTAAAACTTTATAATAAAAACTAGTCTTAATATTCTTCTATTTTTAGAAATTTGGTTGAAGAGTTTTAAATTTTAATTATGAATGCTTCTAATCAATCCCAGTGTTATTCATTTTAAATTCTATTGGCTTTTAACAAAGTTTAGAAGATGAGATTGAGTCAATACTGCATTAAAAAAGAAAAAACTAGTTTTAACGTTTAAAAATTATTTACATTGGACTTAAAATTTAAAATCATCTTTTATTATACTTGATGCCTTTGATGATGTAATCAAGAAGAATTTCAAAATCTTTTCAATCTTTATAATTGTAAAAGAGTATAAGAACATTTATAATTTGTGTTTTTTAATTATATTTCTATTGAATTAGAAGTTAATATATTTTATAGCTATATTTTTTATTCAATGTTAAAATTTTTTACATTATCTTATATATTCAAAAGTTTTAAAACTGATCAATCTGATCAAATCACATTGATCTAATTTAAATTTGATTGATTTAGTTATTTGAATTAGATTAATTTAAAAATTTTACTAACCAATTAAATTAGATTGGTTTAAAAAATATTAAAATTCAAACCAAATAAGATAGCAAATACCCTAATTGAAGTATTAAATTTGAACTTCTCTTGACTCATTTTTTTCTCTCATATGGCCTCTTTTTTTTTTTTTTTTTTGTTAGTTGTTCGCCTCCTCCTAAAAAGGAACTCTCCAAAACCCCCTTGAATTCAAAAAACTCCTATCCTATTTATACAGAGACAATGAGAACCCTAAATGTCGTTACCCTCTATTCATCCTCACCATTTGATTCCTTTCAATTGCTCTCAACCTGTAATTGCAACAAACTAATAAGCTCCTTCTTGTCCAAGCCTTCTCTACAAATGAACCTACAAAGCCCCAAAGTTTGTCTTCGAGGTAGACACTCCAATACTTAAGTTAACAATAATCAAGCCTGCTAAAAGGAAGACAAAAATGAAGCTTAAGATCAATTTCAATTACCTTTGGGAAGGGACCCTTGAGGGGTATTTATATCCTTCAAAATGTCTACATGTTCTTCATTGCGGATAACCGGGATTATATGCATCAATCACCGCGACAATCTCTCATATAAAGATTAAGCATGTACAAACCTACTGTAGCTTTAGTGTAGAAGGAACGAACTTGACCTAGATTGCAACTCAGCTATTAAGAGATGGGCAAGTAAGTAGGCTTAGGGAGTTCATGATGGGTTTGAGGTCATTTACCTCGAACTACCATCACACGACTCCTCCCCCATAAGTGATTCACTTATGAATGATGTAGGTGAGATGATGAAGGTGAGATGTAGGTAGAAATGAATTCAAAGTAGGGTGAGGTCTTATAATAGGTGGTCGTGGCTAAAGTCGAAGTAAAAATGGCATGACACATGGGCATGTAATTTGTGGCCGAAATCGAAGTGAAAATGGCATGACCTTAAATATTCTTCCAAGTGTTGCAGTTCAACGCTTATCTAATTTAGGTCATTTCATGAGCTCTACTTCTGGTTTAAGTGAGGAGTCTAATGTACTTCAAACTCTCTTAGACTTAGGTTTAAATTCACTTAGGGAGGTTAGAGTTATGTGAAAGAGTGAGATAAAGCGTGAGCTAGAACTTGTAGAAGATCTTGACTATTCTCCATCACCCATTCCTTGTAGTGAGCGTTACGAGATAGAGGAAATGTTTTTTTGAAGAGACACTAAGTATTGGAAAAGGAGAAGAAGTGCAACCCATTGATTAGGGGTTAGAGGATATTGAGGTGGAGACTTTTAGGAGTTAGAGTAATGAAGGGGAAGGAGAGAAAGTAAAGGTTCCATCAAATATCTTGAAGGCTAATGATGATAGGTAAAAGTGTTTTAATGAGTCTAAGGAAATTATTTTTGAGGTGATAGGTCATGAGGCCTCTTGGAAGAGCAAGAATAGCTTGATGCATTTAGTTGACAACTACAGCATTCCTTCTCACGTCTGGCTGAGACCAGCTGGGGATGAAGAAAGAGCTTGCTCAACTCAAAGGGACCATTGGATGCCCTTGTATGCGCATTATTTGGCAATCAAGTTGAGATTCCTAATTTTGGAGTTAGTGGTTGCACTACTAAAAGAGTATGGTTTGGGGCTAACTCAGCTCGTTCCCAATGCAATTCAATTGGTTATAGCTTTTTTGGTGTATTGTCAAACTCACAATGTTATAATTGCTAAAGTAAACCTATTCAAGTACTTTTTATTAATAATAAAAGGTAGCAATGGGGAAAAGGGGTGGTTTTAGTTTACACCCTGAGTTTTGAGAGAGGGAAATAAGAATTTGTTTAGTTTAGGCACTTCCTCCATCAAGGGATGGAAAGATAAATTATTTTTCATAGATGATATAGAGTGGGCAAGGACTAACGCAAAGGTGGAAGCTCTTTGCAAATGGGAGTCGAAAAGGGCTAATGTGAATATATATAAGTTGAGTGAGGATGAAGAGGAGAAGGTCATGAAGCTAATAAGAGTGGGTGAAGAGGTGGTAGATGTCATGCATTTGACAAGCTCAAAAATGATTGATGCTGTAGAGCTCTATAGAAGGAGCTCAGTTAGTGGAGGTGTGTTTTGTTAAGCTCTTCTTAATTGAAAGCATATGTTTGAAGCTTTAACTTTGTTTTATTTTACAGCCGAGTTGAATTGCCTACTTGCTAGTGCAAGAAACATCACTCTACCCTAGAAGAGGTCCAAAGCTCTTATAGCGACCAAGGTGGAAGAGTGAACTGGAATTAAGACCTTGAGGACCCGAGCTACAACTGTTAGTGCTCGTGTGTCTCCAACCGCCAGGCTAGGCACCAAGCCTACATGGAAGGCAGAAGAATGAGCTGCTGCACAAAAAAGAAGAAGGGTGGAGCAATAGTAATAACAATAGGAAGAGGTACCAATTGAGTTTGTACCTCGTCCTCCACTAATTGAGTCGATCCAGCTCTACACAAGGTGGGGGTGGTGACACGTGGAAGAGGAAAGAGTACATACCTCTTCCAACGTAGTGATCCAACTTTTTTAATTCAACCAGCAAGATCACTGCCAAACGTTTCATTAGCACTACCTTCCTAAAGGTAAATTTGAAACGGGCAAGGGATGTGGTGGACTAAAACAGGGGAGCTGAAGTAGTTCGCCACACCTTTGAGGTATGAGTTTTTTAAAAACTTTTTCTTCTCCTTATTTTTTTTTTTTAACTTCAACATTTTATGCAAACAATGAACCTTGTGAATGCTTTGGCAAGCTAGTATTTAAGCTACCTTAAGGAGTGGAATAAGTTAGAAAAGGTGAATAAAGAGCTCAACAAGCAAAAAGAAGCAATTGAGTAAAATTTCGATAGTTTGACCTTCGAATTGGAAAAACTAAAGGAAGAGGTAGCTATCTTGAAGAAATCTATTGAGCTTGCTGAGCGCAAAAAGAAATTTTGTGAAGAGGAACTATTCAAAAAGGACGATGAGTTGGTAGAGGTGTAGAGTAAAGCTGAGTTAGAGGTCCACAACTCCATGGAATAGCATATCTTTGAGTTTGTTGAATTTAGCACATTCTCAAAAATAGTGGATCTCTACTATCTCTCTGTAATGGTGCTAGCCTTCACCAATGATGTAACCAGCACTACATTTTGACCTGAAAAGGGAGTAGTTGAAGAGAATGAAGACAATAAAACTACTTACTTCCGAGCAAAGGTGACACTCAAATGGGACCGAGATGAAAACGAATGAACTGTCTTTCCTCTGAAGCTGGAGTAAGAGTTTGTGGTCATGGATGAAAATGAGGCAGAAGTGGGAGGCGGTCTAAAGGTGGGAGACAACATTCAAAACTAAGAGGTAGACCAAGAACACCAGCTTATTGAATGAGCTCTGTTAGTTGGCCATATTGTATAGATCTTTGTTTTATACAATTACAATTCAAATGGTTATAGAACTTTTACAATATTAATATGATTGTCTGTTTACACATTACTTTGCTTCATTTCTGTTATTAATTTAATGAATATTGTG